GCAATGGCTATTGGTACTGATACCAAGCCACCAGTGCTGTTTCACGGAGATTATAATCAGTGGAGAGATAGATTTCTGAATTTCATTGAGAGAATGAAAGAAGGAGATCTTATTATGCAATCTTTATTGGAAGGTCCTGCTGTGTACTACCGAGAGATACCTGCTGATCTAGAAGAACGCATACCTGCTTAGACAGTAATCAAAGAAAAGTATCAATATTCAGCTCAAGAAAGAGAAAGAGCCCATGCTGATGTACTTTGCAAGTCTTACATGATGCAAGCACTGACTAATGATATTTACACTAGTATTGACAGTCATAAATCATCAGGTCACAACATGTGGGTTCAAATTGAAAAAATGATAATGGGTTCGAAAGTGGGAACTCAGCTGAAAATTACTAACTGTATAACAGCATATGAAGAGTTCAAGGCTAAAGATGGTGAAAGCCTTGATGATGTTTATGATAGGCTTGCCAGACTGCTTAATGAGCTGACAAAGAATGGAATTTCTAAAACTACAATAGAGATAAATGTTAAATTTCTTCACAATCTTCAATCAGAGTGGAAACCATTTGCTAATCATATCAGATTCAATAAATCGTTATCTGATATTGATATTCATAAGATCTATGAAACTCTGAAACAGAATGAGGAAGATGTTTTGGAAATCCGAAATGCGAAAAAGAAGAAAGAGAAAGAAGACGCTGATCCTTTGGCTCTTATGTCTGAGAGAAGGAGAAGAAAATAAAAAGCAGATCTGGAAAGCAAGTCAAGGAAGTTAGCCAGTCAGGTGAATCTGAAGAAGAAGACAGTAACAACTCAGATTCAGACTTTGAAATGTCAGAAATCAGACTGGCCATGGCAATGCTAACTAAAGCATTCCAGAAGAAATTCCCAAAACGGCCACACTCGAACAACCAAAGATTCTCGTCAGGTTCAAAATATGAATTCAAAGACAAATTTGGCGAGAAGAAGAAATATGAAGAAAAGAGGTTCGAGAAGAAGTATTAGAAAAAGATGGAAGAGAAGAAGTTTAGCAAAGGTGTAGCTGATGAGAACACTAAATGCTATAACTGTGGTAGGCTAGGCCACTTTGCTGTAAATTGTAGGAAGCCGGTAAATTGAGATACCGACTACTACAAGAATAAATTTCTTCTTTCCAAACAAAGAGATGCCAGGAAAGCACTTATGGCTGAGGATGAACACTGGATGAATCTAACTGATGAAGAGGAAGAAACTGAAGCCGTTGCACATGTGTGCTTGATGACTAGATCGGATAACTGTTCTTCAGGTGAAGAAGAAGAATAGACTGCAGAAATGAATGAAGACGTATTGGATCAATCATGCATTAAACAAATGCAAAAGATGATGCTCAAACTCCAATCTTTCCAGCAAGAATTAAAATTAGAAAAAATGCGTTCAAATAACTTTGAAAAACAATTAAAAACGCAAAAAGAAAAATACATCAAACTATATAATGAAAATGCTGGAAACATGGATTGGGCTAAGTCCTTATTATCTGAGTCCAAATTATTTGATGAAAAATCCAATGTTTTAAAAGCCGAATTATCTGATTTAAAGGAACAATATAAATCATTAGAATTAGTTAATGAAGAACAAATTGTTAAAATAAGTAAGCTTGAACTTCAAATAATTCAATTAAATAAAAAACTGAAGGCTAAAGAAGAAATTTTATACAAAAGAGGACAAACTGATCAAACTATTTTTCTAAACAAACAATCTGAAATGAGATTTTTTAACCCTCGGGAAGAGCTGGGGTATGAAAATCCAAATTTTTTAGAAAAAGCTTTACATTATGCCCCGACCTTGTACAAATTTGAATATCTTGATTGCGGTACTGATTTTTCGGTAAAATTTATAAAATCTTCTGATGAGGTTGAACAATGAGAAGATTACAATCGTCAAAGAAAAGACAAAATGCAGGTTTCGTTTGATTATTCAAATCTAAATGAAAGTTATAATAATCAAGACTCTGCAGTTTCAACAGATTATTTTCATAGTTATTCAAAGGCA